AGGAAAAAACCCAGTATTTTCACAGATGAGTAAGGTGGTGGGAGCCTGCTTCAAAGTTATGGTCTATCCTTTTTCTTTTAAGGAGGAGGAGGTGGTGAGGAGAAGGGTTAAAGACAGGAGGAGAGACAAAGTGAGCAAGGCCTGGAGAGAGGACCGAACTTACTCAGGTAGAAAGTGGGTGAGGGAGGGAAACAGCAGAGAAGCTCGATGTCAGAAGTAGAAGGTGAGAAAAGAAGGGTATTGTTGGTGGAGGGAAGACAAAGAGAAAGAAAAAGGACGGAACTGTTCTTCCTTTGTGACCCTGTCCAGGATGCAGGACAGGTTGTGTTGGTTTTAAATCCGCGTTTACCTTTTTCAACGGTGTTGGTTGCTGTGATCGGTCACTGTTCATTCTCCTCTTCTGTAGTCCCTTAGTTGGTGAGCAACACCTGCGGATCCTGTGATGCCCTTTCTCTCGGTCAGGGACCAGATGAGAAAGTCTCAACCTTTCCCAACTCACCTATTTGTGTATGAGTCAGGTCAGTAGCAATAAAAATAAGGGCCTGAAGGCCCTTTATGGTGACTGTCGTTACTGACATCCGTCCTTGGGATTCTCAGCAGAGCAGCCTGAGATTGGCAGGAATGGTGGGTAAATGATGCCCTTAGCAGTGGAGCCCTCGGGTCAGGCTGGAGGTTTGCTGATGGAGTTGTGTGGGAGAGCTGGAAAAGCGTTGCCCTCTTCAGCAGGGCAATGGGGGGCTTCATGTTTATGGGCTGTGAAGATAGAACCTTTCATTAACACAAAACCCACGCTTTTTGGTTCTTTTGTTTTTAAATTGTAGGTCTAATCTACTCTGCTCTTGTGTTCAGGGTAATTTTCGATGCACTTTCAAAATAAATTTTTATAAAGCTTTTTATGCTCCTGTTTGCTCTCTTCCTAGGTACTTAATATTATTTCTTGCAAAAATCCTGCAAGAGCATCTCCCTGCCCACTGTATGCCTCTGTCAGTGTAACCAGGCACATCACTGATGCTAGATACCATTGAGTTTTAAAGGAACTGGCTGGAGGAAGGACTCGATTCATAAAGGATCCTCAGTTCTGGAAACAGCCTCCTCTCTTTACAGCCCAGATTTACTGACTTAGTACCAGACCCATCTGTTCCTGCAGGCTTTTGTGGTGGATAAAGGCAATGATGGATAGTGAGGCCTAAGGAGAGGCTTTGTTTGTTAGCGTGAGGCTTTGGTCAACAATGATTTATAGATTGCAGGTCAAGTTCTCTCCTTATTAGTGGGATTGTAAAACGTAACTGGGAGTTTCACTCTGGGGAAGCAAACTCATTAAGGTGCAGGAGGAGAGGATACAGGGAAACTTTTCCTGGGTTATATATTTTGCATAAATCTTGTTTGAGTGCTTAGGGGGATAAAGAAAGGCGCTTTTTTTTTTGGTTTTGATGTTTTTGCAAGTATAAATAAATCATTGAAGTGCGGATTCCAAACACTTTTGCACTAACCAGTTTTCCCAGAGATGCTTCTTTTATCTGCTCCACTGGGAGTAGAGCAGGTTGATGATCTCCATGACTACATTGTTGTCAGTACATCGCAGCTGGTGGCTCCGTATCACATCACAGACTTCAAGCACACAAGTCTTTATTGTTGAATGTGCAGAGCCATTGGAGCGGTGCATTCATCCCATTGAACTGGCTTCAGCATCTTACTGCCTAAACAGTAAGAGACTAATGTGCATTAATATGCTAACTAGGCTTTTTGGCAGGGGAGAATTAAGATAAATGTTGTAGGCTTTCTTAGATATTGAAATGCATCAGGTTTTCTGTTGTACTTAGTGCATTTGTATCTAAAGGTGAATAAAAGGGTACACCAGTGTTTCAAGCAGTAAGCAGGATGAAAAGGCTTTTCTTTTGGTAGCTTTGAAAGAGAACAGATGTTGGGTTTATTCCCTGCCCCAGTTCAGCCTTCCTTGGTCCACAATACCTTAACCAAACATATACGAAGCTTGCATATGGAGTGCTAAAGGAGGAATGGAATCGCACGGTTTTAGTGTGGTCAGTCTCTGTGTGATGAGTTGTCATTTGACTGTTACTTTACCCTTTTTGTATTAATTATCTCTTGTGTCCAGTGGCGATGTAATTTAGTGCTCAAGCTGCAAACTATTTGTAAAAGCCGCTTCTTGTCAGCTGTGTGTCCATGGTGTAGAGCAATGGAGTTCTGACCCTTGGTTGGGGTCTTTAGTGCCAGCGTAATACAATCATGGGATAGTACCAACAGCAATCCCTTCACTTCCTTTGCACTCCGTATAGGTTTTCTAGAGAGCTGAGAGTTTTTTTTTCCGGTGAGCGTTTAAAAAATGTGGACAATATCTTTGCAAATTGGTTTTGGGGGAAAAAAAATTGTCAGATTTGTTCAAATGAAAGACTTCAGTCCAAAGTTAACCTGATCAGTTATGTTGGTTTGGTTTTTTTTTTTGTAACAATTGAACAAGCAAGGTTTTGAAATAAAGATGACTATAAATAAAACATTTTGCAAAACCTCAATATGTGGTATGTTGGCAAAATGAAAGCTTTTATTTAGAACACTTCTGAATTGGGAGGTTTGAATCAAAGTAGCTCTGGCTTCAAGTTTTTAACTGCAAAATGGAAAGCCATTAGCATTTTGGGTCTCCTGTGGCTATTTACCTGCCAAGGCAATCATTAATATAGTTTTCAGAAAGTTCTATTTAATGCTTTTGAGGCTTTGGATCTTTAAGTAGAATTTTCTGAGGCTGCCAAAGCCAACTCCTAGGCAGTCTGTTGATGCCAGGAACATAAGGCCTCTAATTATTCAAAGACTGATGTTTTTACTTAAGTACAAATCAACACCATTAATTTAATACGGAGTTGTGAACTGCAATTATGAAAGACACGAGTTGCATCGGTTGTGGTAGTAGCTGAGACACGTGTTGTAACTGCTGGCTGGTTTTGTGAACTGCCCGTTTGTGCTCCTGCAGAACATCTGTACGCCAGGACATTCGCACCGCTTTCCGCTTCCCGTGCAAAACCAACTGCCTCTGTGGTAGCCTTGTGATCGCTTCATGGGCTTGGGTGTTTTTGCTTTCTTAGATGACTTTCACAACGTGTGTTTCGAGCCTTAATATGCTCGCTGTGCTCACTGTAAATACACGTATATTTGTGTGTGTGTGTATACATACGAAAATTACAAAATTAGCTTTTCTAACCCAACACCCTAATGGAGCCATGGTTCTTCCATGCCTGCCGAGCTTCCAGGGGAAGGGAAGGGAAGGAAACCAGCTGAAGTATATTGACCGTGAAACTCTTAAGAACTGAATTTGTGCAGAGCAGGCTGGGCTCACCACCTTGAGCATTCGCGGTGGGCACCTTCATGGTTTGTAGCCAGCTGCCCCCAGCCTCTCCAGCAGAACGGTTGCACTGGGCAGAGAAACTGGGGAAGACACGAGTTTTTTTCAAAACTGAATGACATTAGGAAATGACGATAAAATTGCCGGTATTCAGTGTGTGGCATGGTTTTGTACTGGAATGCAAATTTTCTTCTGTGAATATAAAGGGGGGAAAAAAAAGCAGTCAACGCGTGCGGTTGGTAATTAGCTATTATGTTAAAGACACTGGGAAGAGAGGAAGTATTGGGAGATAAGCATACGACCTAAACAGGAGTGAAGTAGAGGAGTTAACGCTGTTGACATTTAGCATCACAACATTAAGAAGTCAACCCTGATTTGAGTTTATATATCCAGTCTATTGTTTTGAGCTATCATCAGACTCTGTAACACAACACTGTTTTCATCCAGAGATTCTATTTTCAACTTTGAAAGCTGTAAACATCATTGAACACAGGGAGGAAATCAAAACTGATGAGCAGGAAAAAACCAAGCCAGCAACCCACCCTTTTGACTTTTAACAAACTTTTGTAGCAAGGTTCCGCAGCACGTTGCATGACAATATAACTGGATGTATGGAGCATCTCAGTACTGCTATCTTTAGTATTACAGGAACAGGGTGCTACTAAGCACTTCCAAATTAATACAACTTTTCTTCTTTGCAGTGTAACAATAGCGGTTTTTTATAGAATAGAAAAATAGAAGTGTTTTTTGTTATTTGTGATGCTTTCTCTGTCTTACCATTGATGTACACCCTGCTACAAGAAATAGGTCTAATTTTGCAGCCCAAGGGAGTACCAAAACCAATCAGGTTTTGAAGTCCATGCCTACAGTAATTTATGTCTGGAGTTTGCTCTCGGACTTTATACTGCAGCAGGTATTCCACCACAACAACTATTTTATCAAGTTGCAATTTTTTCTGACACAGCAGGTCTTTACATAAATCAGGTTCTTTCAGGTTCCTTTTGTATATGGTGTGTGTATATGTATCTATATGCATATGTATGTAGATACGTGTGTTTATATGTATTAAAATTACCGATTGGCTGCTTTATAGTTCTAAGGGAATCTTGTTATAAGTTCTAGTGTCTTTTCAGATCTTACCGTGTTCCTTACAGTTTCTTCCCAAACAACACCTATTAGATCAAAGGCATGTAGTGTGCCTATAGCGGTGTGTTTGTATACTGATGCGCATCTAGCGGTGTGTTTGTATACTGTTGACTGCAGTGACTATACAGGTACAGTGATGGATGACATTGCCGTGCTGAGGCAATTGGTCTGCTGTTTGGGACCCCAGCTATTTTTTATTGTTCTGATTTAAATCATAGGAATAACATCGTAGGCACTTCAAAAGGAAAGATGTAAGCCAATGTAATCTTCTTTGTAACTCCACTAACAGCTGTTGACAGAAAGCTCATGCTGCTTCTCTTGTTTGAACACTTCAAGCAGCTTTTTTAAAGGAGAAAGCCAAAAAACTTTCCAAAATGCATTGCTGTTCAAGTAACTTTTTAGTCTAACCCACTACTACTACTGATGGAAGTGAATAGCAGGGAAGCGAGAGATTGCAAAGAACGCTGCTGAATTTGACTCGTGTTCCTCTTTGCCTTATTCGCAGATATTGATGAGTGTGCTGAAGGGCGGCACTACTGTCGTGAGAATACCATGTGCGTAAATACACCGGGATCCTTCATGTGCATCTGCAAAACAGGATATATACGCATTGATGATTATTCATGTACAGGTAAGAGCTGTATATTTGCGGAAGGAAATACAGTGTGACAGTATTTAGGAGCACTGATACGATTCTTCTAAAGTTAATCTTTGTTAGAGTCACAGAACGTCTATGTGAAATGTTAAACAGAATAAACACCAAAATAATTACAGGGATACAGTGCAGCAAAGCTGATACATTTTACAGATTATGTGTATGTTGTATCGTTTGCCTGAAATTGTATGGCAGTCTGGGTTGTCTCACAGGTCTGCGTGGTTTTGAGTGCTGACCAAAAAGGTGACGGGAGGAGGCTGAAGGGAAAAATAAGACAGGAAAAATAGTAGTGTGTGTTGGTCGGTTTCCGTGTGGCACACCAGTACAACTTCACTTGGAGTATAATGACTCTTCTGCGGACTTCTGATGGAGTTCACTTTGCTGCGTATTAGAAATGGCTGTTTGCTCACTTTGAATTCTCCTGCGTCGGGAGGTTCCCCAGCTGAACCCTGAGTTCAGGGGGCAGGAGCTCTGCCTGCCTTGGGCAGGGGACAGCGCCGTCAGCCTTGTCTCGGTGTCTGCCCTTTTTGCTCCACTGCCAGTGGATGCTCTAGAGGAGGTGTTGGGTTCATACTGACTTTCTGTCTTCTGGTCGTCTTCTGTTGCAAGGCGTTTCAGGGTTACGGAATGAATACTGAACATTTAAAAGAGCCTTCTGTATCAGAGCCAGGCTGACTGTAAGTGTTCCTGGGAGGAATGTGTTTTTTCCTACTAGACAGATAAAGCAAATATGATTCAAAGATGTGGCACATTGTCTCAGTGAAGAAAAACATGTGGGAACAAAATAGTACCACAATTTTGTGTGCCCAGGGGAATGCATTAGCTCTTTCTGTAAGAGGATATACTTGTTCAGTAAAACTTTCTTGGAGTTCATATTATCTAACAGTAAAGTTGGCTATAAATGGATGAGAGTATTCACCATGTGGAGACAGCACTGTGAAGTTCCTTCCTAAATTTATTTAATTCTGTCCATTATGCCTTGGCATTTTTGAGCATCAATGTGTCTTGGTACAGAAACAGCTTCTTCATAAACTGGCATCATTTGCTTGCCCAAACATGCACAGCACTCAGGGACGTGGGTTTGAACCCACGTATGTGTGGGTTTTGTGCCTCCCGTCTTACCTGTTCTTGACATTCCTCTGAGATGCACTGGCAAGCTCTATTTTGCTGTGGTGAGCCCCAGTTCTTGAAGGACCACGTTACAGGCTGCTTGCAGCAGGTCCCTGCTGAAGCAACCACTATGTTTCTGATCACTCCCGTAGGTTTCCCACACTCTCAGCTGAGTAACGCAATTGTTTCGCTCCCTATTGAGTGTGAACGCTGGGATTGGTTTAGGGCTGACTTTATCTAAATCACTGTGATACTTTTTCCGCTTTGCTTCCCTTAACTTACTGTGCTGATTGAACTCTGCAAATGGTAAACCATCGCAAACAACTTCACAGGGGCATTCGGTGCCTATACATTTAAAAAAAGGTATTTCTCAGTATTCCACACGTTACGTTCCTCATATTTGCTGAAATGTACTGTTGTGCAATTCAGTGTAGTTCAAGAGCTGTGGACAGTCAAACTGGTGTCAAACTTGCTGGAAATCCATTACGGAGCTCACATTGCAAACTGAGTTTGGCACCACCTTAGTAAATAATAATTTCCTGTGAAATCAGCCTGATGGGTGACAAAATGAATCATTTCTTTTCCACCTTTCCTTTGATCAAGGTGGGAAAGGTTAATGCAAAAGGAAGCAAAGTAGATGAAATAGTTTTGTAAGATTTCAAATCTCAAGACTCGCTAGGCCAGATGACCTGTAAGTCACGCAGCAGCTTTCTGTACGTCTGAGCAGTGCCGCTCGCTGTCGTTTGGGATCTGGAGTTTTTCTGGAGTTAAACTATAGTGAATTTTGGATACGGAGAGGCAACCACAAGGATGCAGTGCCTGCTGGGTGGTACAATTTCCATGAATGGCAACCTAACATCATGAAGTGGCTATGTCACAAAATAACTGCTTTTTTTTTCCCAGTTCCACACCGAGTGTGAGCACCTCGGGGGGGGGTCACCGGTCAGTCACTGAAGTGTGTAGGCTTAGGAGATGCTCGCGTGACATTTCCACCGAACAACTAGTGAGTGAAAGGTTAATTATGTTTTAAAAATGGAAGGAAACACAGGATACATTTAAAGGCATGTGCTTTGATCGATAAATGGCATTTTTGCTTGTTTTAGTCTGTATGCTTGCCACTGAGAGGATTTACATTATGGCACTGTGTTAAAGCAGGGGGCAAGAGTCTGTATTTGTACGTGAGACTGCTATAGGGTTTTCACCCCTCAGCATGGTCTTTGCTCTTTGCTGGTTTTGCCATCTATTAAAGCTCCTGATTGTGGAGACTTTCATGTGCACCCGTTTGCCCAGATGTAAATCGAAGAGGTAAAGTGAACCCAGGCAGGGATGGTATGTTGCTGTGGTTTTAACCGGGAGCCTATGGAAGTTTTAAACGACTCGATTGCTTGGCATTGCCTCTCCTAAAGAAACTTGCTCTGTTCTGAGAGCCAGCAAATCTCGGTGTAGTAGGGACAGTGACCGTGTTTACAGGACATGGCTGAAAGATGTGTATGTTAATAAATCAGTGCAAAATACCAGTGGGAAGGAGTTTATGATGCTCTAATGACGGTACTTTGCTTTCCTGCAGACAGACCAACAGGTTTAGTCTAGGCTGTTATGCTGGGGTATAGTTGACTGTTCATAAGCATGATTTTCTCTTATAGCATACTGCGGTATTCTGAAGCAAGTAGTTTACAAGAAAAACTCATTATACTTCCCTTTATTGTCTTGTTTGTTTGTTTTTAATTTAAGTGGAGCCTTAATGACATTCAACTAAACAAATGGTATCTAGGACTTGAGAAGAAGTATTTTCCAAATACTGCCTTGGTTCTCTAAACAAAACGTAAAGTGTGTTAGGGGTCTCAGCCTACCTGGCGTTCGCTCTCTTTAAGTCCATCAATTTAACCTGCCTTCTGTGATTGTAGAAAGTGGCCAGTAGAAACGGTGGCACGTTGAGACTCGAGATGCCCACCTGTCCGTGCCCAGCACGCCTCGCTCTGCGGCACCCGCTCACGGCCCCTTCGCTGCAGCTGGGAATTATTTCGGTTAAGCTCAATTTTCTTGTCGTGATGCTGCTAATTCGTGATGTTAAGACCATAAACCAAGCCTTTTTATCTGGCAGAAAAGCAAGACAGTAAGGAGAAGAGCAATCGTGATAGACCAAAAAGACCGAGCTCTGCAAATTGAGGAGATATTTCTGAAAGGTTTTGTGCAGAGTACCCTGTTTAACTTGGCATATCTGTGAAAATAAAGCCCTGCACTGTCCTTAACAGAATTTTCTGGGTTTTCCACGTTTCTTTTTTGTTCTAATAACCACATTTATTGTAGAAGCTGCACAGAATAGTTGATGTATTCCACAGTCTGTACAAAAACCTGGTGTTTACATCTGGCAAAAATGAAAAGTGGGAAAGATGTCGGTAAAAGAAATTGTATTTTAAAACCAATTCAATCACTGATGTGCAAAATATGTTTACATTCATACCATTGGATAGTCTCTGTTTTATATAATTCAGGCAAAACGTGGGTATTACAGGAGATAACTTCTGCGTTGTTCTTTTCTATTTGCCTCGAGATAGCTGGCGGCGTCTGCTTTGATAGCGTCAGGGCTCAGCGACTGCAGAAGGGTGGTGCAGAGGTGCCCCTTGCCAACGGCGGGTGCAGAGCCCTCGCACAGACATCTCTGGTGCGCAGCGGCAATCCCCAGTATTTAGGGGCACCTTGGTACTGCAAGCGTACTGCGGAAACTACCAAAGGCTCCAGGACTTACGTTGGTGTGGTTGTATAGTCTGGAATTCTGTTCAAATCTCTCGGTACTTGTGTACAGAGGGTCCAGCGCACTTTGGTTTTTGCCAATGTTTGCAACTAAATTTAGTCATTCAACCCTCTTTTGCCTTCTACAGGGTTGAAAGTTCTTGGCAAGTCTCTCTGTGCCTCATTGGCAATTCTGGGTTTAACTCACTGGCTGAAATATCAGTGAATCTGGAGAGGAGGCAGATTTTTAATCCAGTTCAGGAATAACAAGAATAGGGCAAGCAAGCAACAGCTGACCCTGTGTATTACTAAATGTTAAATTTTTAAGATATATTTCAGGTCACACTGTTCCTTGTAATGCTGTGTAATCGAATCCAGCTATGAAACCATAGCTGTGCATAAAATAGCTGACTTACTGTAAGCTGGACCAGAAGCTCTGGTAGCACATCCTTGGGAGTGTTACTAAGCAGGAAGAAAATGTTCTGTAGCTTGGCACTAATAGGTCATTGTTTGCACAGGGTAGCTGAAGCACAGGAAGGAGATGTTGAAAAATTATACCTGAACCTTGATTAGGCAGGTTATGATGTGAGTGATGTCCACGCAGCTTGCCGGCAGATTAACGTAAAATGCCTTATTGCTCCATTCTATGCACACATATCTAATTTAGCAGTCATTGATCAAAATAGAAAAGAGACAGAAAATCAGTGACAATGAAGGGTTTTTCTCCTGTATGAAACATCTGAAAAGAAGTCTGTGCTATCTATCTCTGTCAGAGTCCTGGGCACAAAAAACTGATTTAGACAGCGTATCGCTGCTTCCAAAACAGTTCCAGTCTTTTTCTTCCTGGCATGTTTATTGCAAGTTTTACAATAGATCTGAATTACATTTTGATTTTCACAACAAAGGATGTAATGAAGACATCAATTTCAGGTTTTGTTATTTGTATTTGTCTTGGAAGGAAGATTCGCAGGGTTAGATTGAGTTAGTCACAATCATATTTACACAGAAATCTGTTGTTCATGACTGATTTTATGTTCAGAAATCAATCACAGCTATGAGAAGGGGAGATGAGTCCTAAGCTGCACCCATACGCCGACTGGGTGCACAAACTGCAAATTAAAGGCATAAAAATATAT